AGGAGAAATCAAAAAGTCAAATGAAGTTTTTTCATATGACTTTTTGATACTAAGATATTTGATATTGAATATTTAAGATATTAGTTTTTAAATTTTAACAAATAATTGTAGACATTGTAGACATGTCATTTGAAAGCAACAACCTTGATTCATAATCACAAAATGAGATAGCAGTTAATTTCTACGAAATAATAGGACCACTCAAGTTGGGACCTGAACTGATTTTATTTTTAATATCTTAGTAACAACAACTCTCATGAAAAAACTTTATTTGGCTTTTTGGTTTATCCTTAAAAGCTCTTCATATTAGACCTTAAACAAATTTGAAAATTTTTAATTTTTCAAAATCTACAATTGTATAACAAAATAGAAGTTTCTCATCGTCAATGGTATTTATATAACAAGCTGAAGAAACTATGAGGAGTGACTTTTCTTCCGAAAATTGAAAATAAATATTTTTACAAGTATAGTTAAGTCCATTCGTGGACACACTGTATATAAAAGTACCCAAGTATCACAACTCGTTAAATTAACTTTAAATTTACGTTATGCCCGGTTAATTCGTTTAAGTAATATTGTACTAGAACGTTAAATTGACCTTAAATTAACGTTAGTTTATTATGGTAAAATTAATGTTAGTTAAATTTAACTTCTTAGTTAATTGTTTACTTATTTTTGTTTTATTACGTTTGAAATTAATTTGATTAACTTTTAAACATAAAATAATATGTTTTAATATTGGTTTGTTTAAATTACCATATTATTGAACCTTATTGAATAAAACCAATAAAGCGATTTTAGGATTCTTTTACTTATTGGTTATATAACCAATATAAATTAACCTGCAACTTTATTTTAACCATTTGGTTATGTTATTGTATTTAATTTAACTACTTTATTTGCCTATCGGTAATTTATAACTCTTTGGTTTTGGTTTAAATTCGGTTAATGTAACACATTATAGTTAATAATTACCAAAATTAGTTAAACTAACTTGTTATTTTTAAAATAACTAACGTACACTTTTTTTAATTGTTTTTAACGCATCTGTTCCGTAATAAAACCTATAGGTTTATACATAAAAGCTTACCAAATTAATTAAATGTGAAGGGACTGTTTTAATATTTGTAGATAATGATTTTCAACTTTGTTAGCTCTTCTACGGTAATTTAAAGAAAGTCTATATTTTTAAAAATTATTTCTTTTATGCTCCATGATCACATCACAAACTCACATCCTATAGGTTTTCATATAGTGCTTTATTGAGACTAATTTTTCTATGCAGGTAACAATGAAAAGTGGAAAAACATCACTTTTTTTACCTGTCTATTAATTAACGTTAATTTACCAGCGAGTTAAAATATATTTGGTAAAATATAACTAATAGGTATCTTTTATTAGTTATAATCCATAGTTTATAGTCCACAATAACCTTTGAATTTACCTTAAGGTTATAGAAACCGGTTGGTTATTTTTTAGTTCATAGTAAAAATGTTAATGGTTGAATACAACCAATTGGTTAAAAAACAAGTTTGAAAAACCGTTATTTTACTTAAATTTTGGTTAATTTACTTAGAATGCTAGTTATTTAAGCAGTTGTGTTACTTGGGTATACCCCAGTGTTATTTATTTTTAATGTAGAATTTAAAAAATTGATCTATGATATATTTTTTAGTGCTAATCCTTAAATGTTTAACTTTGTAAAACTATGTGGTTACAAACTAAAAATAAACAAATCAAAATTTTACAAAAAAAATACCTACATCTGATCTCAAAAACCTTTATTTTTCAAAAACTCAAACTTGAATTCTCACTATCAGTACTGTTTGAGAGCACCGTTTCGCTGGGTACTTGTTTTCGTATCACTACAAGGTATGTGATGCCAGCTTCCATTTCATTTGGCGGACTTATTGTAAACGTTATAACGTTATCTACATCCTCACTGGTACCTAAATTTGTAGAGTATAAACAGTGAGAATAATACATTTCATCATAAATGTACCTTCATCGTTTATTTCACCGTCGACACCCAATTCCGAAACTGATTTACTTAAATGCCCCATTTCAACTTCGTCACTGGTCTTTGAATGAAGCGAGTCTGTGTCATCCAAAATCGGTTCATGTGTTTCAAAAATCTCCTCAGGGATTTCTTTATTATCTTCGCTGTTAATTGTTTGGTTATGCGACTCATTTTCGACCTCTTCTATTAAATGATGCAGCTTAGACGATATATCGTTATCAATTTCATCGTTATTGTTGGGGTCACTCATTTTATTGCCTCAGTCGAGGAGGACCAAAATTTATTGCGTTTACATGTTGAGATCAGCTGTTTGAACTTGTCATGTCAAATTTGCCAACCATAGAAAATTAAATCGACCGTTTTGTCCTTTCATTTCTTATAATTTTAAATAGAATTGAATAGGCAAAAATATAATTCAAAGAATTGTGCTGTTTTTGTTGGACAATTTTACCTGCGCTTTTTCTAAAAAGGCATTAAATTTTCTTTGTGTTTGGGCACTAAGAAAAGGTGTCCAATATCTCGGATTATCTTGAGAGTTTCTTATCTCATCTTAAGGTAACAGGGTGTGTAATAAAATGCAGAAATAATGTAAACAATAAAATATAATTAAAATCGTATACATTTTGAAGCATACAGACAATTACAATAACTATTACTACTATACACGCAGTTACAAATAATATGCTGTACAATTTATAGAAAAAATATACAAAATAATTGTGCTCAGTCATCAGTAGTATTAATGTAATAAATAATTAAACAAATCATATATCCAAGGGAAAAATTATATGTGCGATACTTTTATTTATAAAATCTGATATGTTCTACACTATATTATATTTTATAAAGCTATGAATCTGGATAATACAAATCATCACCAATTAAACTTTTTTTTTGATCATACAATGTATATTGGCTGCATTAAGTTTTATATACAAAAATCGGTTAAATAGACAGTTATAAGTACAAAAGATTATTGAGGGTCAATATATATATGCGTATATATAAAAACCTATAAACTAGTTAGTCTGAAACTACAAGAATATATTAATATATTACAAATTATCGTACATCAGACAATCAGGGTAATGTTCCAAGAAAAAAATCAATTTGTCTTGTGGTCGGATGGTCCCTAATCAATTTTTTGTCCATTTTATTCAATATGGCACAGCGAGATGGCAATGATTTTGTACGTTTTGGTTTTATGATAAGTGTCAAGTCGTCCTATTATTGTCAAAACCATTAAAAAAATCTGCCTAAGCTACATGTATAACTAAATAACATTACATTTTCATAATTTAATTGTCGTATATTTTATTTTTAATTGGTACATTACGATACAGTCATACATCAAATATAGATATATAATCAGAATTAAAATTAATTACGTATTTTTTCTCACTTGGTATTTTGACGTTTTCGCAGGGTCAGGAAACTTTCTTAACATAACTTAAACTGTCAAAAAGACAACTCTGTATGTTACAAAAGAGTTTGAAAAATTTACATCACGACCAACTGAACGTGTTTTGTTTTTATTTCACCTTGTAAATCATTGCGGCTTGTTTACGTTGAACCTTCTTAGATAGATCTATCGGAAACTATCTAGTCCAGATGTAAATAGATTTTGTGGGTATTAATACAACACTGTTTACTTTCGAAAATAAAAAAGATCTTCCATCTAACAGTTCAGGTTCAGTCACTTACCTCTACATCTACATTCATTCATTATTGTACTGTTATTTATTTATTGAAATTTAATTGGATTCTTTAAGCTATGGCTTTAATCATATGTTAGGTGGAAAATGTTTTTTTAATTAGATACATATTTTATTTTTCGTACTGTACAATAAATTATCCATTACAGAACAACAAACAGACTTTGTCATTTAATATACACAGTGTGTTTCAATAGGAATTTGAAGTGTTTGAGAATTGGTTATTTGACAGAGATATTACAAAAAATGTGAAAAAAACGCTTATTTTTTTATTTGTAATATCAGTAGTGTGCGTTGGATTGTCTTTTATTTCGTATTTGTAGTAGTAATGTCAATGTCAACCTCTCTGACAATTGTGTTACAATAGGTGATAATAATTACACTAATCAAGATATTGTAAACTTGTTCTATACATATGGCGAGTGCGAAAAAGTTTTAGAAAGAAAAATAAGAACTTTTAATGAGGGGTATCCAAATTTAACCCCATTTAGAAAGTGAGACAAGCGTTTTCGGAATTGTCCCATAAAGATATTTTGAGAACAACTTCTGAAGGTGTCTTGCGACGTATCAATATGTGTCGTGAACAACAATTCTACTTTAGAATTGTTTTATTTGTAACATTTGTTTATTTTTTCAATATAATTTTTGAACTTTAAATTGATAATTCTTTTAAGGTTGTTTAATACAAAATTAAAACAATCCAACACACAATACTGATATTACACATTAAAAGTTCCAATTGTTCTTTATAAAACTTTTTTGCACTCGTCATATGTATAAAACATTTTCAGAATGTATTGATTAGCGTAATTATTATCACCCATTGTAAAAGACGTTGACATTGACATTACATACTTAATAAAAGACAATGCAATGCAGACTACTGATATTACAAATAAAAAAACGGGTTTTCAATAGACTATTTCCCTCGTCTTGATTTCCACCAATCACAAACGCGCAATTTTGAATTACAAATGGTTTCTAGGTGAAAAAACTGTGTGACAGCACCTGTCAGCAGTTTATTCGAGTTTACCCGCGGCAAAACTTGACAGCTGTTGTCACCAAAAATTGCAATTTATATTTTAATTGTTAACTCTTACTCATGAAATAGTCTTGTCAAATATCATTCGGGCATCTAATTTTTCCTGTGAAAAAAATCGAAAAAACACAATGCTAAGTAATATTTTTTAACAAAAAGCATTCGTGCAGGTGCAAAAATCCTCCTCTTCGACTCGGATTTTTGTTGCCACCAGCACTCATGCTTTTTGTTAAAATATCACTTAGCAACGTGTTTTTTCGATTCTTTTCGGAAAAATTAAATGCCCTTATGATATTACTTACGAAAAAACCATTTTGTGTCCTATGATGTGAAAATTGTAGGGTAGTTTCGTTTGAAATAACGCTGTATAAAAATTGAAAACAAATCATGGAGGCTAGCCTCAACCAGCAGTAAAAAAATTTAAAAAAAGCAAAATAATTTTTTAATTTTTTTTTTAACACATTCCCAATAGTTTCAAATTCCTTTTGATAACCCTGTAAAATCTAGTCTATGAGTCGAAATCGATCACGTTAATAATAAATCTTCCTACATGAGTATGTAAAAGTCACTTCATCATCATCACATTTATACACTTGTCCATTAAAATAAATAAATACACAAAAAGTAACTAATAATAAATTCGGCTGTACAAGAAGGTATAAAAAAAAATCGTCAGTGTCCCACCGTAAGTGTAGCAAATGGCACTTTTCCGTTTCCAAATAGAGATACAGAGACTAGAGAGCTGTAACCTGGCAAGGGGCCCAAACGGTCACTCAAATGGGCCCGTAGTTGCTCAAAGACGGGCCTGAACCCTGATGAGGGGGATTGCAAACCACCACCGGCGTGGCCCCTTCGCCCGCCTGTCATACGTGGCTTAACGGGGGCTGCTTGAGCACGTGGTGGTGCAAATGGTGCTGGCTGGCGGAGGCCACGCTTCCGGCGGGTCCCAGCAGAGAAGCGCTGCCCGGCGGAACCGACATCAAATACTGGGGCGGCGGCGGTTTGCCGGGGCGGTTCTTGATGAGGACGGCGTTCGCTCCGGAGAAGTCCGGCCGGCCGAACAGGCGCCCCCACAATCTCCTCCAGGAGTCCAGGGTCTTCCCGGACCATATCCACACGCCGGAAGTGATGCCCACGGCGAGAGCCATGAAGTATTTGAGCATCAAGACCGAGTACAGCGGTCTAATTTTCGGGGTCAAGCTCGCGTTGGGGCAAGTGCACGCCAACGACTTCAACCACTCTTCGTGGAAAGCGTTTTCGTACAAGTGGCACCCTATGACTATGGTGGCAGGGACTGTGTACAGCACGCTGAAGATTCCGATCCTTATCATCAACTTTTCGAGTTTGTCGGCTTTCGTGCCCGCTCCGGCGCCGCCTTGCTTTCTGATCACGTTCCTGATTCTAAAGAGCGACACGAAACCGGCCAGTAAGAAGCTCGTTCCGACGATGAGATACACCACCAAAGGCGCTAGCACGTACGTTCTTAGGTTCTCCATGTTCATGTTGCCCACAGAGCAAATCCCCGACACCGGATCGCCATCAACGGACCCGGATAAGAGCACCGCCAAAGTTTGCACGGTCGGTATCAACCACGCGGCCACGTGAAAATACTGCGAATAGCTCGTTATGGCTTCGTTGCCCCATTTCAAACCGGCGGCCAGAAACCACGTTAGAGCCAAAACAACCCACCAAATGGAAGAGGCCATCCCAAAAAAGTACACCAGAAGAAAGACGAAGGTGCAGTAGTTCGGCCCCGTCGAAGAATACCGAATGACGGCACCCTGACAGGCGACCTCCTGATGGCCAACGACCACTCTTATCAAGTAACCGACGGACACCAAAAAGTAGCAGGCCGATAAGAAGACGATGGGCCTCTCAGGATACTTGAAGCGTTCGGTTTCGATGAAGAAGGTGGTGAGTGTCATCAAGGTGCTGGCCGCGCACAGCCCCGACCACAACGTTATCCACACCGCCGCGAACTCCTTCTCGTCCGCGTTGAAGTACTTCTCCTTGCAGGGGAACGCACAGTTTGAAACGCCGGCCACGCTTCTGTTTACCAAGGATTGCTGTAGAGTCGGTTCTCTCCCCAGAGAGACCAGAGGAGGGCTGCACTGGCACTTGCACTCTCTGCCGCTTCCTCCCTTTTTTCCGTCGCTTTGGGGACTTGCGCAGTTTTTTGAACCGGGCTTGCAAGGTCTCAGCGGCTTCTTGCCCGTCGGCGGCGGCTTCACGGTCGCCGAGCTGCTGGAAGCGTTGCTCTGATCCATGCACAGCACCTCCATGTTCTCGCCCTGCACGGGGAACTGATCGCAGTCCATGCGGTCCGGCCATTTGAACATGTACTTGTTCATTATGGGCTCGCACCCTTCTCTCGCTCGCTTGCACAGATCCCGGCAAGGCGGGAGGGGCTTCTGGTAGTCGGGCAGGCAAATCGGCGCGTACAGCGAGCACAGGAAGAACCTCAAATCCTTGGAGCAGTTGATCTCGACCAAAGGCCAGAACTGATGCACTTCCAAACCGGCTTCCTCTTGACTCTCGTGATTCATCTCGTTGGGCATTCGAGTCGCGTTGTATCCGATGTTCAGGCACATCGGGATCGTGATTTCCTCGCATTTTCCTTCCTGATCGAACGTGTCCACGCTGGCACCTCTCGTGAAAGCTACGCACAAAGCGTTCACCACGAGATACAACCCCACGGTCCTCATATTGTCTCTTTGCTCTTGCGTGCACTGGTTAGGTTTGCATTTACCAACTTTAAGTCTCGTTTTATATGGCAAATCACACTGTTAACTTGTCGACGGTGTCAACTGTTCATCTTTCAAGAGGATTGATGGCAGACATCATTTCAGGCATCCTGTAACAATAAAACAACTTGTTAATATAATTAGATCAAAATTAGGGGAATTCAAACTGTCAATCTTCATTACGAATTTGTAAAATAGACGAATTAGGTTCAGTGTCATAAAAATCAGATTTATTAACATGATTTTGTAGTTTGTTAATTTTATTTTGTAAAATTTTTTGTTAATGTTTAACTAATTATTTCGTTTATAAAGTACACATTATTTCAGGCAGTCTTTTAAAACATTTCCCACTGACAATACGCATCACAGGTTCAACTGACTTCAGCGTCTGTAACTTATGTTTCTGCTTAATTTATTCTAATTCGAAAGGTGTTCGTAATAACTGCCAGAGTGTTTATAATATATTACCAGAAATCTTTTATTATTGTTATTCGGATTCCTTATACCTATTTAATGAGTGTGCGAAATTATATTGTACCAAATTTCTTTATAATTTAATGATTTTAGAATAGTGTGTTATTTAATTGTTTGTATGGTATTTTTGTGTTCATTTAAATTTTTTGTTTAGGAAATTGATTAATAAAGCAAAATTTCTTATCAAAATGGGGTAGTTAAATTTTTTCTGACCTAAACTTTTTATGGTTTTATTCAAGGCGTTTTGTAATTTAAAACATTTCTGTGAAATAGGAATTTCAATTGAGTTTACCGTTTTCGAGATATTTACAAAAAAAATGTCCAAATTACGTCACTAGGCTATTGACAACGTTGCCAGCTTTTTCTATGGTTGCCAGCGTGTTTAGTTTAAGATTCTTACGATAGATGGCGCCACGTTATAATATTTTAGTTTTAAAACCACTTGATCTATAATTTTAATTGAGAAGAAGAAGAAGAATTGATTTTTTGACGTTTCTTTTTTTCGGGTTATGTTTTTTTAAATTTAGATTATTGAAAATCAATGTTATTGTTATGTTATTTGTAATTGATATTATTGATAACGGACTCCAAAGCAGAGCAATCTTGTGGAATGGTTGGTTACATTGAACATTGGAGCTTTTAAACAAATAAAGTAAGTACCTATAATTATAATCATATTTTGTCGTAAATGCATTTCATTAGTATAATGCCTAGTTCTTTATTCTTTTAGATATATCTTGGACTCTGAAATAACAAACAGTAATATGATACCTGTAATAAGGAAGATAGGTACTTAATGAATTTGGTGACCATCTTTCACTCAACTGACAGTGACAGTATTTGTACATAACCTCTTCGGGTATTTTCTGACATAACCGAATGAAATAATTAACAAGACAACTTGACAACAGGGTAATTTTCAACCAATAGAAATCTTAGAATGTTGGTCACATGGCGAGGTTTGTGACGTCATAAAAATTTATATTTTTTGTAAATATCTCGAAAACGGTAAACTCAATTGAAATTCTGATTTCACAGAAATGTTTAATATTATAAAACGCCTTGAATAAAACCATAAAAAGTATAGCTCAGAAAAAAATTAACTACCCCATTCTTCTCATTTTGTTCCCAATTTCCAACAAATACTTTTGATACTGGTTCTTCATAAAGGTTCGTAAAAATAATAATTTCTTACTGCGTTTAGAATAAATTTGACTTATGTAGAGGTACGTTAGATTGCAACTGCATTTTAGATACGTTATGCAAGCGCATGCCGATAAGATGCTATTGTTTAGAAACGTATAAACGATTAAACGATAACCGAGCGGTTAGCGGACGACCATTATGGCCAAAGCAACAAACTAGCGAGTAAGGTATTGAGCAGGAACTTCCACCATTCCGACTGTCTCAGAGAGTCACGTATATCGTTAAATGCGTATCTTATATGTCACGTGCCCAATGTGTACCCTGTGTGCGAAAAGGAAACAAATCACCCGCTAGTCGGTCTAAAAATATCTCTTAGTTAAAAACGAGTCGTAAAAATTAATCCGCAAATTGCAATTGAATGTGATGATATTAGGGGCAAGCGCGTGCCATCTATTTGCTCAACACTCAATATTTTGGCCGTGCAACTAAATTGTTTAATGACTCATTAAAAAGCTTTTACGGCATGTGCGAAACGTGTCCTGTTAAAAAACACCCTCGCCTGTCAAATCACGTACGAGCCACCCCAGAAAGTATTAAAGATCTCTTCGTAGACAAGCCACCCTCAAGTCAAACATCAGCGGTAGTACTAGACATGCATTTCTATGCACTTTGATGTGAGCCGACTGCCTAGTAGCGAAATGAGTAATGCGGGTTCGATATTTCCCCCGAATAAATTTCAACCTAATTGACGTACGCCTTCGCCAGTTTTATGGGGAGACACTAATAGATCAAAGTTCTCCCCTCTGCTAATTGCACACGGTTTTTGCTTCTTCGATTCTTAAATATCGGCGATGAGTTTTTAGCATATGTCCAACCTCGATTTGCCACCCTTTTTTAAAGCAGACAGTTGCGTTTTCTCACTTACACCCCCTTGGAAATATTTGAAGGGCATCAAGGTTGCAAAAACACCGAAAATAGCGTATATTTAGTTAAATAAGTTTTTTCAACTTATTATACCTACATTGTTATAAAAATTTTTATTTAAGTTCCCAATTTCCAACAAATATTTTTGTTACTATGGACCAGGGTCGATAATTTTTGAAACCAAAAAAAATAACAGTAGGATGAAACCCATTGGAAAAGGAGAAGAATATAATAAAAATGAAAGGAAAAATAAATTACGGGCGATCTGACTTCGGGAAGTGGGAGGGGGGGGGTTTAAGGGTAAAAAATGGTTTATCTCGATTTCCGGCAAAACTACAAGTCCTATGGAAAAAAGTTAAATGGCAAAGTTGTAGGTAATAAAAGGATCTACAACTTTTGCAATTACAATTTTTTTTACATAACCTCAAATTTTATGTGAAAAATTCAAAAAACCAAGTTTTTGGTTTTTTATTTTTATCTTTTTCAAAAAAAAAAATTTTTCCACGAAATTTGGTGAAAACTTACCTTTTTATGTCCCAAATACAATGTAATTTATTTGATTTAAAATATTTATTATTTCGCCTTATTTTGACTTAATATCAAAAAAGCACCCTAATTTTCAATCGAAAATTCTCGCGTCAAAATATCAGCTTTTTTCAAAAAGTCGGTGTGCTTTTTGTTCGTTGAAATCTATACTTTCTGATGGTGTAAAAAAATATACATTATTATGGTAAATGTTCTCAGAAAATGCAAAAAATATTATAATGAATAACGAAAAAAACTCGAATTCGAAAATTTATTTTAATCATTATGTACAATTTCATCAAAAAAATGTGATTTTTAGTTAAAAAATTTATTTATTAAATTCTAATAACATTTATGTCAGAAAATCTCATAAAATATAAAAATAAATGTAAATCATACTATTGAATTTAGATACTTTACGTTATTCATTATAATATTTTTTGTATTTTCTGAGAACATTTACCATAGTAATGTATATTTTTTTACACCATCAGAAAGTAGAGAGTTCATCGAACAAAAAGCACACCGACTTTTTGAAAAAAGCTGATATTTTGACGCGAGAATTTTCGATTGAAAATTAGGGTGCTTTTTTGATATTAAGTCAAAATAAGGCGAAATAATAAATATTTCAAATCAAATAAATTACAGTGTATTTGGGACATAAAAAGGTAAGTTTTCACCAAATTTCGTGGAAAAAAATTTTTTAAAAAAGATAAAAATAAAAAACCAAAAACTTGTTTTTTTGAATTTTTCACATAAATTTTGAGGTTATGTGAAAAAATTGTAAATACAAAAGTTGTAGATCTTTTTATTACCTACAACATTTAACTTTTTTCCATAGGACTTTTAGTTTTGCCGGAAATCGAGATAAACCATTTTTTACCCTTAAAACCCCCCCCTCCCACTTCCCGAACTCAGATCGCCCGTAATTTATTTTTCCTTTAATTTTTATTATATTCCCCTCCTTTTCCAATGGGTTTCATCCTACTGTTATATTTTTTCTCTTTTTACCATTTTTAAAGGCTTCCGCACTGGTCTACTACAAAAAGGTTTGAAAAAAAGGTCTATTTTGAAAATTACAAGAATTATGCATGGTTGAATCTACAAAATATTTGTTATAATTACAAAGTACTTATTCCATTAGGTAACGGATTACAGTTGGTTGTAAACTTAACATAAAGTTATATGGACCTGGATTAACATAAAATCTGGTTAATATTTGGTCAATATTAAGAAATATTTTTTACTGTGTACGATTCCAGTATCAAACAGAGATGCAAATACAACTCGAAGACGCACCATAGTCGTTGCACGGGTTTCTTTTTTGTATTATTTTATTTCTCCAAGCCACAGTCTGTTTATACAACACCCAATTAAGATATTGAATTAGATAACGTTCCGGCTAACTAGTTTTACAATATTTTTCGATGTCGTTGGCTTTTTTCCTTCATATTCCACTTAAGTTTAGTGCCGAAAGGTGTCGTATATTCGAGTTAAAATGATAAACATAATCCCGAACATTTTACTGGCCAACATAGCAATAAATAAGACGGTAATTGTTTTGTTTTAATAGCCGTGACTTGTGGAATAAATGTTTATTGGATTAAATGGTTTTAGTACCAACATACTTATCATGGAATCAAATAGTGCCAAGTCACTGGTTTTGATTTTAAGTGGTCTGGAAGATTTCTTTAGCTTAAGATGGAACATCAGCAAAGATAAACAATTTAATGGGATAAATCCACAATATTTCTTTCTAATAATGGTTAAGTCATTATTAACGTATTAAAAACATATTTGCGGCGTGCATGTTAAATGAGCACGAAAAATAATTTGACTCAACATCAATAAATCGCGCATAAAAGACGGAAAATTGTTTGAAGCATCTCCGTACAAAAGGTTACCTCATTAGTGACTTTTAAACGAATGGAATGGAATTCTTTTTGTAACGCTTTTTTTAACTCGAAAACAAACAAACGCTTTGAACGTTTCAATTTAGAATATTTGTCTTTAAACATTTTAGAAGAGGCTATGACTGCGC